GGCTTGTTTTACAACGTCGTTGCCAAGCGACGAAAACCCAACCCCGATGGCAAACACCGGGGGGTGGGGGTTCGCACGGGTGCGCGTAAAAGAGTGGTGTGTGGCGTCTGGACTTTTTTTTTCCCCTGTCGTTGTTTGTTCAGGATGATAGCGTTCTCTGCCGCAATATATATTCTTCGTAGCTTTATCCCTTCCAGCGTTGTCATTGAGATGTCGATGTTCCGTCTCGTGACCGTTCGCATTCTTCATCTCAACGATGTTTTTTTTTTTTTCTTCCATCATTGGACTCTGTCGTCTGCCCCTCTGGCCCCTATCGTCCACTTCTACCAGCTAGACGACCCAACCGGGGTCACATAGAAGGGGGGGGGTTGGACCGCCTCCTGCGGTTCCTGTCTGAGATATTTTTATCGCGAGAAGGGTACAGCAATGATAATCCCTTCCCTCGCGACTTAAGAAGTCGATCAAGTTTACTAACAACGAGCTTTGCAGCACATCGCTTCCAACGGAGACCAGGATTTAATTAGCGAGAAAAAATGCACTCTGTCGGGACTCGAAACTATGACCTGGCCTTTGGCAGGCCACGAGGCTACCCACTAGACCACCGGGGCGACCGGTGTGTAGTGTGGGGGGTTGATTGGGGATATTCTACAACTCACCCTCCTTTTGGAGATGTTTTGTGAAGAGTCATATCTTCAATTCATGATCATACATGATCAGCTAAATCTTACTGTAGCTTTAGGATTTGAGCATTGATTTGAGTATGAAAGTATAGAATCTGCATGTATGTATGATATTCAGGGTGGGCTGTGATGGAGTGTGGCTACTAGCATGAATAGGGTACATCTTATTGTTGACAGGATGCGGGTCGGTCAGGAGGTATACCCTTCTGACCCCTACCCCCTTAGAATTGTCTACTCTGTGTACCCCCTGAGATGAAGTTGGATCCCCACTTAATCTGAGAACTTTGCTGATCCTCTCTCAGCAATAACAAGCAGGTGTGTGGACAACAAGCGTGTCAACGACAGAACCTCCATCTATCTCTAGGAGCAAGCTACCGCTCACGGCACCACTCCTTGAAAGGGGGGTGATGTTTTTTCCATCCTTGTTTTTTCTCCTTTGTAAATTTTTTTTTCTCTCTTTTCCTTTCTTTTTTCCAAATTTTTATTTTTTTTTTTCTTCCTTAGGGGGGGGGGTGATGTTTTTCCCTCTTATATCATTTATTAATAGTTGTTCGTTTCTCTTCTCTCCTTTATTATCGATATATATTTTTCTCTCATTCCTTTTCTGTCACAAAATGTGGCGTCCTGCAGCAGCGGAGGTGGCGGTGCTGCTGTAGCTCGTAGACTTTGTAGTCTACCACAGAGGTTACACTGCTGTCACCGCTCTATCACAGAGGTTCGTCTACACTGCTGTGAGATCGGTAGGCCCGAGCGAGCTCTGGNGTAGTCAGTCTCGCCTGCCAAATTATCTCCGCTACAACTCTGTGCTCATGTTCTCTGCTGAGTACCATCTCTTCTTTCTGTATTATGTCTACGGAAGGCATGTTGCCGCAGTCGCACCTACGGTAAACTGTGCCTGACTACGTTGTAACAGTTTTCCTCGACACGACCCCTCGATTAGGCAAGTAGCCGATGTTCCAAACAACCTTCACTTCGCTGCCATTCTTGCGACCCCTCGATTCCCAATCCATATCAAAGAATATCGACCTCCACATGACTGAATCCATCCTGTGAGCAATACACGCGTCCAAAACATTCAACCATATGCGATCTTGTGCTTAATATTTTCTAGCACTTGTAGTCCTTGATGAGTTGCATGATGGTGGCGAATCGCTGCTTCGGGAGATGTTTCGTCGCGATGTCCGCCAACATCGTGGCACTAGGTTGGTGGTGAAGAGTGATCCGGTGCCCCTTCGTGAGTTCCCTGAGGAAGAAGAACCGGAGCGCGATGTGCTTGGTTCTAGAGCTGAACATCGCGTTGCTGGCCACAGTCAATGCTCCGGTGCTGTCGCTGTTGATGGGTACCGATCGAAAGGTCTTGAATCCGATTTCCGTCATGAAGTTGGAGATGTAGACTGCCTCGCGAGCACTGAAGCTCAGCGCTTGAAGCTCGGCCTCCACGGTGTTCTGTGCTGCGAGAGTCTGTGCCTTGGCTCCGTAGCTGATCAGTCCCCCTCCTAGGAAGAACAGGTATCCGGTGGTAGACCTGCCGTTGTCTGGGTTGGCTCCAAATGACGAGTCAGTGAAGCACGAGAGTCTGAACTGCCCCTTCTTGTACACGATCGGCAGGTC